TATACTACATGGATGATTTCTGTGTTTAATGCAGTCGTTAACATAAACTTCCACTACATTCATGATCCATGCAGTCACAATAACTTTATGTCGCATTTGTGGGTGATGCACAATCTGCTTATTTACAGTTGAAGGTCTGCCTGTGGCTGCAACAGCTGGGATTGGACTATTTATAGTACTCATAGTACTTGTAGTACTCATAGTACTCATAGTACTCGTAGTACTCGCAGCCTTTGGCTACAAGAAATGTAAGTAAGCTTCTGAATGTTGTTCTTTTACAGTTTTAGCAGATACAATTATCTGATTTCGTGTCGAACAATAATTATGGACAGCTGATATTAATATGCAAACATCAAAATTTTAATTTATTACAAAAAATGTTGTGCACACGTTAACCAGAGTGCTCTTAGTGTCACAGCAGCATCATTAACACTGAACAAAAGTTGGCGAGCGCCCCCTGCTGTCCTGGTTTGTGACTGACACATTTTTCTTTTGTTCTAGATCACCAACAGAGACAACAGAGGCCAGACAGCCGTCAGCTGCTTATCTTTCCAACGGTGCTGTGCTAGTGCTGTACAGGAAGGTGGCGCTGCACATGGGCTGACCAGTACTGGCAGGACTTTGTCAGGGATACGCGTGTTAAACCAAACACTGCTGCTCTGCTGTATCTCAATGCAGGAACGTTGTCCGTCCATTTCAGGGGCAGACAGCCAAAGAGAAAGCTCAGGAGCTTTCACAGCTCTGAGGTCAGCTCTCCTGCCATCGAGGCAGAATGACCACAAATGAAGCCTGCATTAAGATTCAGAGTGAGACCAAGACTCTAAAGACCAGCTTCCTCTCTGTGGGATTATTTAATTTAGAGCTTCACATGATGGGCTGTACCTCGTTATGCTCAGTATTTGTAATTCTTGCTTGAAACTGAGAGATTTCTGAGCTTTAACATTTCTCCCTCTGTGAAGATAAACTGAAGGATCTTGTTACTGTACTTACGTAGAAGGTATCTGGACTTCAGTATTTATTTTTCTGACAACTTTTTACTGCCTACATGTTAACACTACTTTCTACTCCTTGACTTTTCAAAACAGACTCATTACTTTTGGTTCAACGGTATCATTTATAGTGTTTATACTCTGAGAGATGGAGAAAGATCAGAAAGACGGACAGGAGAGGAAGAGCTTAGACTTAATGTTTATATCCTTAACCATACTATGCAGTTACAACCTATAATTATCTGAGCTTAGTCCACAACAACATCGGCACGTTTAATGTGAAATATTCTTTTACTCTCTTCACCTTAAAAACTATCCTAAAATATGATGACAGCATCCATCTCATCCTAAAACGACTAAACAGCCGATTCATGAACAAAATAACTGACAGACATCAAAATGTGAAGATTTGTATTTCCCTTGAAGTCACTTTGTCCTCATGCAAACGCGTTCATGCACATTCAAGTGTTTTCTTCCTACAGGACACCTGACCAACAAACATGTAATAGTATTTGTACAGTAACAGTATCCAGAGTACTTTCAAATCACTGCTGCGGTTGTTTTGGCTCACCCAAACAGGTGTGGTTCACATCCATGTGTGTCAAATCATGAGAAGGACACACATGTAGTCCTGCATTCACTTCATCAATGAATCCGAGTGAACGTTTGTCCTGCATTAACTCTGTGGGGTCTTCACCTTACAGTAACACGTGTGTTTGTTCACTGATGCTATATGAATAAAAGTGAACTACAGGTGTTCCTGAAACGTGTCTTTGTTAGAACAGGACGGATGGATGAGCACAGCCCTGTCAGCACAGGGCTGACACCACTTTGCCCCGTATAATAAATACACACAAATATATTAGGACAGGTTACTAAACCAGGCTTACAGGTAAAAGGACATTTACTGAGCGGATCGTGTCAGCTCTTGCTTTTCAAGGACAGCGAGCAGCAAAGTACAGTTAGCAGTGTTTGTTCTGATGAAGACTTTAAACTGTAAACAGCAGCGCAGTGAACAAGGATCTGTGTCCACAAATCCTCAGCAACACTTAAACATCATAGTTCAAAATGTACCACTCTTCATGAAGCAGATAAAGTCCTGAATGCAGCCTTCAGTCTGCATCACGTTCCATCTGCGCTTTAAAGACACTCAGCGTTTCCTTGGATTTTCACTGTAGTTCAGTTCATACAGGAAGTCGGGAGTTTTGCTCTTTCATCTCAGCCAATAAGACCAGTCAGAATTTATTCTCAGGAAAAAACAGAGGAACTAAAAGAAATTGTAAGAAGTTTGGGTTTTTTTGGTTGCCGGTTAAAATTAAACCAAAAAAAGAAATCAAATTTAAGAAAAAATCATTTATAATTTTCTAATAATACATGTAGAGTTGCATATCCATAACAGCATTCAGTGCAGGTTTAGAGTGTTTCATTTAGTGAAAGCTGTTGATCTTCACTTCTCAAATAATCTCTAAGGATCTGAAGGAAGACATGCAAATATCTCATTATTAGGCTAAAAGCATGATATAGACAATTATATATTTTAGCAGCATCCCCATAAGGCATATCACAGCCCTGCACACCGGCACAGCTCTTATATTATACTTCAATCAAGATATAGTTATGATTTAACCACATTAGCTCAACGAGGTCACAAAAATATCCCACATACCAGAAATGACATGCTCAGCACTATAACCCACATGGAAAAGAAATAGTAAAAACTTATATGATTTACTCATGAAAGTGGCCACTTTCTCATTACTTTCATTTATTGTTTTAGTATCCAAAACATACAAGTTTCATTATATAATTTTTCAAAGGATCTTATATCTGTTTTCACTCTTGTATGCTTTTCATACAAGTTTCACACAAGACAGATACAAACTTTATAAGATTTATATATATCTTTTCCATGTGGGTAAATTTTCAACAAAAGTTGGACTTCAGTCTTTTAACCACCAAATTAGTCTATCCTGGTCAGCAAGCTAAAAGTCTTTACTTTAGCAGCCTAAATCAGAGGCTAACATTAGCATTTGCTAGCACCAGCCAGGATAGTCTGAGGCTAAAACTAGAGTTTGTGTAACTTTGCCTGAAACCCTTTAAAGTGTACAGTAAAGGCAACCGTGGAGCATAAGTATTATTATGGAACTTATTATAGTCCTAAAATTATTTCTTCCTCAGTATACATCAGTAGAACCATGAAGTTTTTACTTTTCCCAGTTATCTACATGGCTGACTTTAGCTAGTTAGCTAGCTAGCAGTCAGAGCTGTGCAAAGCCCAGAGAGAAGCAGACAACTAAATATCCGGCAGTGTTGCAGACTCCTCCAAGGGCGAAGATTTGGTTGTGGCATTGGTGGGGACGGATGATTGAACCACCGAACCCTGCCCTGTTTCTTTTGTCCCCCTTTTTGTCTTTGCTTCTTAGTAAAAGGAGAAGTATACTGACCTACATATGCTATTCTACCTGCTTTTAAACCATTTACAATTACAATTCATAGTTTTATATGTAAATTATATAATGTTAAATCACTATTAAACAAATGACTGACTAAGTATTTTAGACTTTAGTTTACTTCAGCCATATTCCATATAAATCAGGTATCATACAAAAATAAAATCAGCTTCAAATAGCGAGCGAGCGCTCTCTGCTTATAATAAAAAAAAAAAAAGCAACAAAAAAACAGCCCGTTCGTGTTGGTGGAAAAATGCACCATGTCGACCAATCAAAAAATGATATGGCAACATGACATTTGGTTGTTTAGGAAGAGGGGGAAGTTTTAGGAGTGACAGAGAGAGAGAGAGAGAGAGAGTTTTGAGATGTGACGTTTAGCGTGTTTGGAGTGTGTAGTTAAAGTGTTATCTTGTGTAGTTAGTGTGTAGTGTTGTGGATAGTTTTGTGTTGTGTGTCAGAACAATGAGGCGACTGCTGTCTCCAGGTAGAAACAGGAGTGACACACCTGCTGCTGTCAGACCTGCAGGTATCAGGCTGTGATGTTCTCCTTTATAGTGGACAGAAATATTTGGAGTGGCACAAATAATCTGTGGCATCTTATTGAAGAACAGCTGATTGTTCTGTAAATAGTTTGAAATGGTTATTAAAAAGGGTTAAAAGGTAAATGGCTGCAAATAACTTTGTTGTTTGCAAAACTTGTGCATATAAATTAAAATTGACAATTTATATTTGCATTTAAAGTTATGAAATATGATTCATTAAACATGTTTGTGGTTGTTACAGTAAAAATATAACTTCTTCTACTCGGATTTTATGTTTTTTTGTCTGATTTTAGATCAATTGTGTTAATACAGTTTGTCAAAATGAAAACATGACTGTAAATTCAGACACGTGAGGTTGTGCTGAAAAGGATGAGACCAAACAAGGCAAAGTAAATAGTTTTTAAAGGTGAAATGTGGAGGAAACATCAAAAGTAGTTAAAAATGGACAATTATACCCTGGACCCCAGAGGGTTAAACTTTTTTTTAAAGTAACACAATAGTTACTTTTCAAGTAATTAATTACTTTTAGAATCTGGTAACTCAGATACTAAGTCAGTTACTTTTTTGAAGAAGTAACTAGTAACTATAATTAATTACTTTTTCAAAGTAACTTGCCCAACACTGGTAATGACTAATACGGGAAGCAGAGCATTAGACGGGCCGACCTTCTTCTGGCTGTAAGAAGATGTCAGTCATAAACTCTGGGTAAAGGGTGGACTTTAGAAAAGGACGTGTCCTGCAGAAACAGTCATAACATGGATGTTGGTCACTGCGCAGTCCAGTCTTTATTACTCTGCACCATCAGTCAGTCCCAGCAGACCGCTTCCAAAACCAAATCACTTCCTGTTTCAGTCCAAACAAACAGCCGAGCGCACGGTGGACGGTCCTTCCTCCTCCTGATAATGCTTCCTGCTCCACTCTCCCGACGACTCCTGACAGAAAACAAGTCGGCTGCAGTCTGCCACTTTAAAAAATATGTAGCATGAAGTAAAGTGTTGCGTGGCTTCACTTATAACTCCTCTAAAGTTATGGTAAAAAGAGAGTCAGCTGATTCAGAAGGACCCGGCGTCCTGCTCAATGTGGAGCTGGACCTGTCAGTGTTCATTAAGATGTCATACTGTCAATAAGAGACGAGAAATAAAAAAAGGCTCCAGCATCCACGTTCACGTTGGTGTTCATGTCCAAAAACGCAAGTTCCTCTAACGTCCACAGTCAAACAGGAAGACCTTCATCCTGTGGAGGTTCTTCTTCCATTTACTTGTTTTTGTTCAAACAGAGAAACAAAAGAAAGTTTTTCATTAACAGGAAAGAAGTGATTTGAACACTGAAGACCAACATTTTCCTAAACATCCAACAAACTGTGTTTATGGGCGAATTCGATTGTGTCTGAAAGCAGAAGGTAGAAAAGTTCTCTCAACCAGTGTCACATTCAGGCTCACAAACACTTCTACTGTTTCCTAACACTTTGTGTGACAGACTGTTGGACCTGAACTTCCACATCTTCTCTCTCCCAGAATCTCTCAGGCACTCCAGCAGGTGCTCTGAGGCAACTGCTTTTGTGATGCAGTACAAATAAAACTGAATTGAACTGGTGCACTCTGCCTGTGTCCCTGCTCCCTACTGTCAAATTAGCTTTAGTTGCTGCACTGTGAATAGCTAGTACCAGCTAGCAACCAATCTTAACTGTGCTGACTCAAGCTGTGGACACAGAGCTTTGAAAAAGCGTCTTTTTCTTTTCAGGACCTGCAAACCTGTTGAAATGGCTGCTTGTGTATTAGCATTTAGGTTCTTCGTGTATGAACTCTCAGACTCTTTTCTGGACTTGCCCCTCTGCATGTCTAATCCAAACCTGGTGGATGTTAAAGGGTTAAAATACTGCCTCTGATTCCTGGTGCCTTGCTCTTGGGTGACTGTTACACCGTCAGCGCTGCAGACAGGAGCCCAGTGATCTGAGCAGCAGAGCAGTACGTACGGACAGACTGCAAACGTTCACCTAAAACACAGAAGCTAAAAGCTTTTTAAGAACGTAGTGAAACCTGCAGATCTGACTCCTGTTTTCTGTCTTTGTACTCGGCTGTAACTCAGACAATACTGACTCAGCACAGAAGCATTTAAATCAATCATCACTCACATTGACAGAACACACAAAGAGCAATGCTGATAATCCCCACGATGACGGTAATGATGACGATGACAGCTATGCCACCTTTAAAAAAACACAATAAAAAGAGTGTGGTGTTAGTTTTACTGATCACATGTCTATCAGTGTGGCAGAGGCTTGTTCTGCTCTGAGGACACAGCAGAAGAAACAAAGATGGCTGAGCCTTCTAGAAACATTTGATCAGATTATCCCGATGCCCCACAGGAGAATATCGGTGTTATTGTTAGTGAGTCTACATCAGAGGTGTCCAACTCCAGGCCTCAAGGGCCGGTGTCCTGCAGGTTTTAGATCTCACCCTGGGTCTGCACACCTGAATCAAATGAGTAGTTCTTCACCAGGCCTCTGGAGAACTTCAGGACATGTTGAGGAGGTCATTTAGCCATTTGAATCAGGTGTGTTGGACACGTCTAAAACCTGCAGGACACCGGCCCTCGAGGCCTGGAGTTGGACACCCCTGGTTTACATCATTACACAAGCTGGTATTAGAACAGATCTAACATGAATGTAAAGTTTATTATATCTAATAAAAATGTACAATAAGAATAAATAAAGTTTGGCAGTTACACTCTGTGATCTGAGCTGGTGTTTCGTGGTCCTTGTGACTTTAACAGTGAGATATTACTGGCTTTTAAGTACCTGTAAACAAAGTCCCGGCAGGTGAGACGTCTTTAGTTGTTGTCTGACATTCGCCCGAGGTGGGATTACAAATTCTGCACGTTACAGTTTTTAATCCGCTGATGTTGGCTTTGCTGAAGATGCTGAATGTTCCATTCCTGGTGTTATTATCAGTCTTTACTTCCAGTGGCTCCAGGATGGTTTTGTTCCCCTGGTCGTCTGTGGAGAGCCACGTCACCTCAGGTTCAGGATAGCCCCCCGCCGTGCTGCAGATTGCTGAGGCCTGGCTTAGCTCGATGTTTGGTTCCTGGAAGACCGCTGGAAACAAGTCACAAGTAGTTTAGCTGGATTTTTTGGACTGTACAAATGTGTTTGAGCATGTGATTAATTTATCAGCCTGTGATGACCCACAGGAGTTAACGGCTTCTGTGGGTCTTCACAGGCTGAGGACCCACAGACGTCTGTAGTTCACAAAAACATCCAAGCATCCAAACCCAGTCTGGTCCTTTCACAGGAAACAGAGTATAAGACACGTCATTCTCTCCATTTCTGGTCAATTTTGTTCCTTTTCGATTATTTGTGGGTCAATTTATGATTTTAACATAATGTAACATGATGCACTGTTCACCCCACCTGCCTCCATCTGGAATTTTACACCTGTGTGAGTCCAAATTGATGGTGAGGAAGAAGGATATCAGTGAGTCTAGAGATCAGATTACACTTTAGTTTTTAGCTCTAAGTTATTATTTTTATGTTGTTATTTTTAGAAACTCACACAGATTTTTCTACAGAGGTCCAAACCTGAACAAGAGTATCTAATATTTTACTTTAGCTGGTTGTGCTGAGGAGGAAAACAGGAATGTTAATCAGCTTTTGTTTTGCAGAGAGAAGTATACAGACCTGCTACATGCAGGGTCTTCTGACAGATATTCTCCTTTGAGTCATCTGAAATAAAAACAACTTCAATGAAGGTCCGATCGTGGTCCAGCATCAGGTTCCTAATCAGGAGAGAGAAATTTCCATCCTCTAATTGAGAAAGGAAGATTGCAGTCCTGTTCTGAAAGGATGAGCTTTGATAAAGAAAGTCTTCTTCTCCCTTCACATAGACGTGGGCCACAGTGGGATTGCTGCTGCCGTCCATCCCCTGCCAGTAGATGTAAGTTTGCTCACGGACAAACCTCTTAGTAAGTTTGTGCATGCACGGCCAAAGGAGCGTCTCTCCAATGCTTCCATTGATGGTTTGGCACCAGGCTGGCAGCAGCAGAGGTGCAAGCAGAACTGTGACGAAAGACAAAAAGATTCATTCATTCCAAACGAGCAAATTCAGCGCATTCATCAAAAACAGGCACAGGTCAAAGTTCACCTGACCCCATGAGGCTAAAGCAGAGTTGAAAAGGCATTTAATGTTCACTGCTAACATGATGGAAACTGACTTTGTACATTTAAGCTTTTCCAATCTTTTCCTGTTTATTGAAATGTCGCCCAGACCACAAGTGACTGAAAGAATGACAGAATAGTCTAAAATGTTCACTGACGTGCAGTCTGCTGCCTTCCTGGCTGAGCAGCAGACTGTCAGTCTGAAGTTTGTTTACTGGTATTGGTTGTTGTTCAATTTTGCACCAACCAGGGAATTGTGGGGCGGGGTGTGAAGTTGACCTCGTAGAGAGCAACTACTCGAGATGTGGAGAGAAACCCAACAGATGTACAGCAAACGAGCAGGGTGAGAACTGTAAGAATACTGAAGAATACGTTCCTGTTGGTGAATTCAGAGTTCGGTTTGAAGGTGATAAATACTTATTATTTAAAATGCATTTGTTTCAAACTGTTTCTGTCAATGTATTATTGTATTACTAATAACAGCATGTTAGAGGCTAGCAGTGTTAGCACAGATACCACCTGTAGCTGTGTGTTACTATGGTAACGTGTGCTGATGTTGTAAGTCATGAAAAGCTGAAATGAGTTTAAAAGCGTCATTGAGTGAATGGACTGAGTGTGCTCCCTGGAGTACAGGACCAGGGGAGTTTTTTTCCTGGGTGGAGCACAGACCAGCCCAGATGTTGACTTCCTCTGTGGGAGTTCGGTCGCTGTAGCTTCTCATCCTTTGCTTTGTGGTTGCAGTACAACAGTGTGAGAGTATTCTGCTGTCTGAGATTCTGAGACAGTCTTTCCTTAAGTGATTGTGATTATTCAAAGTGTTTGCAAAGGAACAGACACGGACATTTATTTAATATAGTTATTTTGTTTATTCTGAAACCTCATTTCTCTTTCTTTTAACTAAAGTCCCTTATTTTGGTGTTTGAGTGTTGTTGTGTGTGAGTTTGTATTACACGTCAGGTGTTTGTGAATAGCCTGACTCACTGTTTCAGTGAGGCGTAACCACAAATTCGTATTTCATCAGTACTACAGGTTGGTACAGCAAGCCACCAAATTAAAGGGCCCCGCCCAAAGTACTTCAACACTTTTATGCTATTGTTGCACCTCAATTTTCCTTTTTCTTGCAACTTTATTCTCCTCAGTTCAGGCTTGGAGTTTAGAGGCAGCATAGCGTATCATCAGCAAAACATCGCTTCCTCACGTCTCAGACACTGTTGCTGTGTCCCAATTCAGGGTCTGCACGCTTGAAGTACGCATTTCAAGTGCGATTACGTCACCGCCACGCGACGACAGCTGTCCCAATTCGAAGTGTACTTCAAATGCATACTCCAAATGCGCCGTCGATTTCCCCAAATATCAAGCGTGGTCCGGTGCACGCTTCGTGGTCCCATATATCCCACAATTCATAGCGCGGCGGTGGGTGTGGATAATTTTGCCACAAAATACGGCAGAAGGGAGCGGCCAAGAGTGAACTGTCAAAAGTAAGTACTGAACATGACGTCACTTAATTATGTGCGAATGTTTAATAACGAAGAACATTAAAACATTGCTGTTGGCCACATGTTGGCAAAGTTGTGTGACATTAGTGATGTTTGTACTTACAGCGTTAACTTGGTTTTAAAGCATAAATATATATATATATATATATATATATATATACATACACACATACACATATACATATATATATATACATTCTCGCGGTTAGTATCATGGTTGCTAGGCAACCTGAACAGCGCAACGAAGGGCTAGACCGTCCCATTTCACAAGCCTCTCACTTCCGCACTTCTCGTACTTATAGTACGCGCCGTACGTAGTACGCGTAGTGCACGTACTTCAAGCGTGCAGACCTTAAATTGGGACACAGCCTGTTTGTTTTTTCTGCGCTTACTGATGACATCACACATCTGAACTCTGACCTCCTGGAGCCAGTAAACTACAAAAATTAACTAGAAATGTGTCCAAAATCAAAACACAATTAAATAAGAATAGACTTTAAAGATTTTCCCAACAATTCAGAAAAACGTAAGTTTTATAACTACTTTTAGAGCGCAACACTATCTGAATACTAGCTAGCTGGGTCCGGTGCTACAGGAACATGTTGTAGGAATCGCATTGAGCACATACCTGTTACACATCTGCTGTCTGATTTCACTACAGGGTTTCTGATTAAATCTGTTTCTGATTTTTATGCCTGGGTTTACAACCATTACTTAAGCTTATAGTCCGTCAGTTACAGCTACTACACTGAATTACAGATAACAAACTATAACACAAAATGTTAATTTAAAAAAGGCCATTTTAAACAATGATGACTTATATTCTTTCTCTTCCAAGCTCTTTGCAACTGTTATTTGGAAAATAATAATAATAATAATAAATAATAAGGTTTATTAAACTACACTGGCACAAACCAAAATGAGAAAAGCAACGATCACACTTACAGAGAAAGATCAGGAGCAGAAACTCCATCGCGCCCCGCAGGGAGAACAAAAAGCTTTGGTGAGACTCGATCAGTGTCTGCAGGATGTTCAGTCCATCAGTGGATACTCGGGCACCGCATCCTGATAAAGCACCATTTGGCTGTAAGTCACTCCAACTACAAGCTCCAGTAATGTTCTCATAAACAGTGATAGCAGCTCTGATAGTAGATTGCAGACTGTGGTGCCGTTTCCTCTTTCAGACGCCACTCTGACTCTCGCTGTGGCTTCTGGTCACATGTTATCGATGGTTATGTTCACGTTACTGTCCGAGTGCAGTTTACTGCGACTCACAGATTTCTTTTTTCCATCAGGGATCGTCTGCGTGACACTTGGCAGCTACAGGATCCGAATAAATCATTTTATCTTGGATGAAACTCTCTGTGAAACTTTTTTTCCCAGAAAAGTAAAAACCAGAAAGCAGAAGTCTGAGTGCCACATGTTTCGACAGATCGCCGTCAGACCTCCTTCTTTGTTGCCACTATCCGATCAGACAGGAAATGAACCTGAAACTGTGGATATTTCTTCTGCAATGTTTCATGTAACACATAAAAAAGCAAAGAAAACCAGGAATGTGGTTTATGACTGTGTGAAAGGTCAAATGTGAACTGAAACATATCTGACGAATTCTGACGAATTCAAGAAGCCGAACAGCACAAAGACTCGATCTGATGGTACAAATGTGGCAGAGCTGCTTCAACCTCTCAGACTGAATGGTCGGCTTAGTTTCAGTCATAAGTACAAATAATTGTGTTACAAAAATACTCTGGTAAAAATATAGATTTAAAGTAAAGGTACAGGCTATGAAATGTACTCAGAGTAAGAAAGTAACTTGTAGCTCTTTGAAGGATGTTTCTACCAGCTATTTTTTTGCAAAGGTAACTGAACCTTGTGCTATATTAATATAATAAATGTGTGTTATTGTAGGGTCCACCTCAGGGTGAGAGATGGAAGACAGGACAAAGACATGCTGTGGAAGAGAGCCAGTGCAGAGAGGTCTGTTAACACAGAGTGAGTGAAGGTGTGTGGCAGCATCCAGTACCAGTGAGCTTGAATTGTAACAGCAGGTCAGACAAGGAGTTATCACAGCCAGTGCTAATGCTCCCAAGTTTGAAATGAAATAGAAGATAGTGAGAAAGAGAACACCTACAGCTGGCAAAGGAACAACGTCACCTGAGAAAATCATGGAGGAGAGCTGAGTCCAAGGAGAAGGCTGGAGGAGCTGCTGGTGTGATCGATCTGTGCTTCTTGCCAGGGAAAGTTAAGGATTGGTGTTACCAGTTTATCTCATATCATCGCCTCATAGAGCCGCTGAAGCTGTGTGACATCAACATGCCATTAGTCCTGAAGCCACCACGTCAGCAGACCGAGGCATTCGAAATGCCAGCGTACAGGTCCGTACAGGATGGAGGTGGAACGCAGCCCAAGCAATAGACTGCAGAGAGGCTAAGGGTTTCACTCAACCTGCCAGAGCTGGCTAAAGATGGGGGGAAACTATAAATATGGCCCAAAGCCACCAAGAAGGAGATCTCATCATCTTTGAAGTAAATGGAGTTTTTTTCTGCCTGTCCCGTTTGGCTCTTTTGCATCAGAATTATTGTCTAAAGGCGAAGAAAGATGCCCAACGGATTTACGTTACCAAATGGACCATCCC